TTTTTTCGGCTCGAACATTGAGTATTTGCCCTTGACGATACTGGAATTCTACTACAGGGCAACTGTTGTGAAAACGAGCAATCTTGACAACATCTCCGATTCTGTAACGGTACAATCCACTAGGGTTTGTCACTACCAACTCATAAAGTTTTCCAACTTCTGTGTTTTCACCAAACAGCGTCTGTAAAACAGAAATTTACGTCACCATATAAGAACAGTTTTGAATTAAACACACGGTACTTCAGTTTGAAAAACATTTACATTTCCACCGCGAGAGAAAAACTTCATTACAGAGATAATGGTCATTCGAATATCACGGGTTAATTTAGTGTTATCAACTGAGTTGATAACGTAAATCAGCCAAGAGTTTCAGAGTTTCACAGCTGTAGTTTGGAGCGTTCGCCCTTCGTCAGAGCGAAACCCAGTTGATAATATTTAATTACCCTGTTATACTCTCCCACCGACGCAGCACCACAGTTTCTTTAGAAACATACCCCCTCCCCCCTTTAATTGAATATTACTCGATTGCTCTGAAACTTTTGGTCGATTGGAAAAGCAACTCTGATCTGGGCTCGACCCATGACTTCTCGATCCAGCGCGCTACCCATAAGGCCACTTGGCTTCCCTTAAACAACACTAAGTTTCCTTACAACGCAATATTCCCTTAACCTTTCCCTTTTTGTATCCACTCTGATCCTTAAAATAATCCATTTGAAGCCGCAAAAAAAAAAAATCCAGACGATCATATTTAGATCAAAGGCAAATTATTTTCTTCCATTATAAAAACGGTTGAAGCCTTAAGTCAAAAGTAAAAAGTAAAAGTTCTTGCAATTTTCATCCAGGAGATTCGTAAAGTACATGATGAGTTAGTGTCGTAAAACTGAAAGCAAAGTTTTGACAACGGCCAATCAAAACCAAGAAAATATATTACCAGGGGCCAACGAAGAAAAGTTAAAAATTTGCAAACTGCTTGGGGCGATAAAACGTGCATCTGATTGGTTGAAAGGGTGGCACGAGTTTTCTGGACCAATGACAGAGCGCAGCGAAGCAATCCAATGGGATCCCAGATTACTATGCTTTGAGCTTTTAAAAAAAAAAAAGGCACGTTAAATCCTCCTTACCTTCGGCTGTTCTTGACTGCTTTCTTCCACTGGAATGAACTCAAAGAACATTGCGCGGGGCACTAGCATGTAAACTGGGGTCGTTTCTTGTGGCCACAGATTAACTCCGATCAAACCTTCAGTAGATCCGTAAAACGGCGAGTAAATTGGCACGTCTCCCAAATATTTCTCCTTAAGTTTGCTGGCATACAGCTTCGATGAACCTTGGAACGGAGGAGGTAGAGGTGTTTGGCTGAGTATCGATGTAATTAGATTGAAACGTCAATTGATTTTTTTCTGGCGATTTAGCTCCTGTATACATGTTATGCGGTCCACTGAAGGTATTTATTAGAGCTTGTCACACAATACTACGTGACGAAGCACGGGTAACCGCGGAAAAAGAAAGTTGTTAATCCAGATTACCTTCAACATCACATCGGAAAATGAATACCGGTTATCGTTGACCCTTTAAACCCTACTATCAGTATGCATATTCTCCATACTGTTCTCTATACATTCCTTAAACTGACGACAAGGAGAATTTGTTTAACAATCAAAAGCCTCTTTGGTTAGTGATCATTTCCCTTATTCTCATGACCTCAATGTGTGATTCAGGGGTGATATTGTAAGGAGAAATTATATGCTGGTCACTTAAGGGTTAAAAGGTTAAAGGGGCGTATTTCACTACAACGGAGGTCGTTATCAGTTCAAGAGAGGAGTCAAGAAAAACGATGATCATTGTCTTAATTCTGTACCCTTTTCTACTTTCTGAAAAGATAAATTAGATCTTTGTTATGGATTAAAAGTATTGAATCAATGTACCTGTAGAGCAAGCCAGGACTAAGTTAATATGTGGCCATACCCTCCTCACAATTCCATCAAATCCATTTGTAAATTCTCTCTCCAGTTCCACAGCTCGTTCTTTGTCAGGTTTGAGGAGACTATCTAGTTTACTTGGAAGAATAAGAAATACAGAGAATAATTATGTAAGATTATAAAGCACCTAAAGGTATGGAATAAAATTAGGTCTAACAATCAAAAAAATTCAAAAATTGATGCAGTAACAATTCAGACCACAGGTCACCTTCCCACCCCTCCCCCCAACAAGCAGCTCACCACCCCATCACCCCACAAACATGGGCACTTTGAGGGTAAAGTGCCCTTCTCATAAACACAATACAGTGCCCAGGCTTACTCTTGAGCCTGCAGTTCTTCACCGCAGGGCCAGTGTGCTCACCCAGTTATAATTACCTTCTCACATCTTCCTTGATGTTCAAAATTGGATTCACCCTTCCAAGTTCAACATCCTCCACGAGTGACTTCCACTGAGCCTCAAGTGCAAGAAGCCCTGAATACACCAGCTGAGCAAAATTTGCCTCCAAAATGCCAAGATTTCGATCCTTTAAAGCAAACAGCAAGTGAATATACAGGGCCTCTGGTTCAGTCATGATGTCAAAACCTGCTTTTGGCGTGGTGTAGAGATGGAGGATTCGTTGTGAGTTGCTAGGTGAAGAGGAATTTGGACCAATGGGCAGGCCTGAGGATGTGTAGCACCACTTAGGTGAATAAAAGAACTTCAAGCTTTTCTGCAGCTGGTAGGACTGTTTGGAAAAGTTTCAGAGAAGAAACATTGGTAGATAGCTGAGTATTAACTTTTGCTACAGTCATGTATGCATTACCAACAGTCAAGAATACACCATGAAGGGTTTGATTTGATTCTTGCCCTAGGATTTGATTTGTTTCGAATCCCAGGGATTTGATATTTTCTTAACTCAGGAATTTTATATTTTCTTTACTCAAGGATTCCATTTGTTTCTTGCCTCAGGGATTTGATTTGTGTGTTATCCTAGGGGATTCAATTCCTATCCCAGGAATTTGAACAGTTTCTTTTGCCAGGGATGTCTTACCCTAAGGGATTCTGGTTTTTTCTCACTCCAGGGATTTGATCTGCTTTATTCCCCATGTATCTAAGTTGTTTCTTAAATCCCAAAGATTTGTTTTGTGTTTTTTATCCTAGGAATATGATTTGTTTCCTATCACAGGGATTTGAATTGTTTCTGACTCCATAGATTTCCTTTTTTTGTACTAAGGGTTTCCTATCCCATAGATTTCTTTTGTTCCATATACTTGGGATTTGATTTGTTTCACACCCCAGGCATCTGATTGGTTTCTTACCCCAGGATAGGCCTCAAACATGGTATTTATACCAACAAGTACACCATTGGTGAAAAAGATGCGAGGGATGTCATTCGTAGTTGGAAGTAGACTGCTTTTGCCTGAGGTTCCAGAGGTGACACCCAGCTGGTAAGGGTCCTTTGCAGTGAGAACATTCTTCTCACCCTCAGAGATCTTTTCTGTAAGCATAAGATACATAATTTCACTCTTATATGAAATGTCTAATTAGGACTAAAAGGTACGTTGAGGACTCCAAGTTGACAAGATTGTCCCCTGAATGGAAGAGATGGAACTGCAGTGAGGACAGGCAGTGTGTAAATTTGTATGTCATTTCCTCCTTACAACGTGTCTTTTTCTCCTTCAGTCAGTCAGTTAGCTGATCAGTCAGCCAGTCAGTCAGTCAGTCAATCAGCCAGTCAGTCAGTTGATCAGTCAGTCATTGGGTCACTGAGTCAAGCAGCAATTAAGTCAATCATTTAAGCAGTTAATCCAACGATCAGTAAGTCAGACAGTTATCTAATCAATCGTTCAGTCAATTAGTCATTCACTCATTCATTCAGTCACAATGTCTATAACTTATCATATAAAAAAATAAAACTGTTTTTGCTTTATCTAATTATATTAATTGCAGTTCTACACACACGCGCAGATCTTTTCAATTCTGTAGTTTTATGATAACACGCCTTACCTATATAAGATTCGTAGTGCTTGTATCTCGTCAGCGGGTGTTGACTGACATACTTGGCCTTGTCGTTAATGCCACCAAAATTGTACTTTAATCCATATTCCGTATCAGCGTTGCTCTTAAGAATCTTAAGCAACGTTTCTTCTTGTACTTGGATGAAACTGATGCTGTCTTTTTCCAACTTTCGTGTCATTCTCGTCCCGAAGAGGGAAAATATGCAGTACTCTAAATGTTGTCGTAGCATCGAACTAAACGTGTGCAGCTCAGAACATCTCTTTCGCCGAATTTGGAGAATGATTCCTAAGACTGACAGTCCAGTTATTCCTACAGCCATACTAACGTAAACCGTTAACTTTCTAGCCGGCATTTTAAGAAAAATTGGATAGATCGTATGTTCGATTACATAATCTGTTCATACAAACACTGGGGTGTGCTGACAAAAAGAGCCTGGGTCCCACTCACTTCATGATTGAATGAAGCAGGGGAGGGGAGGACCGGTACATTTGTCAACTAAGCGTAGTTGATTAACCAGTCCTAAATCGTTCCCTTTTTATATTTCAACGAAAAATTACATTAACTTATAACACCTTTCTTTAAATACAACGGGACAAAATTTGGTAGGGGAAGGTAGGGTAAGTCTTACTCATATACCAGTAGGTGTGTTTTTACATAGTTACAGAAAAAGAGGTTATAAACTGAGTTCTAAACAGTCTTATTCTATATTTGAAAATTTAATGACAGCCCATGTTGCAATTATGAAATTCGAAGCATACCAAAGTCCAGAAAAATGCAACCATCAAAATTTTAGACTTCTTTGGGGATCTTAATTAATCTTGTGTCTAGGAGAGCGCATTGCATGACAGGACCACACACCATTCATATTTCTGGGCCAGTGAACATAGCAATAAGACTGGATCCACTGCTTTCTATGATGCTCCAGCTTATGTAAGTGAACCGTAAGGACTTCCCTCTCCCACAAGATAAATCTACAATCACTGTCTCAGGATATAGTGGTGAATATTTCAGAATTCATCTTCATATTGAAAGAAAAAATTAAATTTTAATGAAATCAAAACATTTTTTACATAGCCTTTGTTACATGCAACTCATCATGTATCTTAGAAAAATTCAGGCAACAATCTGGCTGGAAGAACTACCATTTTTGTTACATTTGTTTGCAGTTTTTATTCAATTTCTTACTTAGGATAATATTTTTTCTATTCTACAGCTAACCAAGGAAAAAAATCTTACATCCTAGTTTACCATTAATTCATCTTCTACAAAGGTAATCAATGAAAATTTTAAACAAAATCTAACTAAGTGTTCTTTGAAATTTTTTGAACAGAAATTGGAATGCTATTGATTCACTGATAACAGTGATTTTAATCTGTGAATTCAAAACCACCAGTCATCATCGTCCTCATCCTCATCCACATCAATACCCTCAAACAACCTGTTGAAACAGCCACTACCTGGAGAGTTGAAATGCTGGTATGGATTACTGCGTGGTAGGTTTGCCATGCACAGCCAACAGAAGTATGTCCGACATTTTAGACATGTCATTTTGTTACAGCCATCAATCTTTTGAATGCTTGCTTTGCAACATGGGCATTGCTTTGCATTAGCATCTAGCCATTCTTCCGAGACCACTTCATCTAACAACCTCTGAAGCTTTCGTTTCCCATAACGTTTTTCTAACAATTCTTTGTCTTCTCTGGAAGCTGCAGAGTATTCTTCTGTTAGCTTCCTTGCATCACTACCCTTAATTTCGCAAGGAGAAACCCCATGGTAAGTATGCTTACAAAATGCACAAAATGCTAAGGAACACAATGGACAAACACCCATGGATGATTCACTTTCTAGCATGACAGCAGTCTGACATGAGGGCCGAGGACAGTAAACTATATCTGCCATTCCATCAAGGCTGTACTGTAGCAAAAATCTGTCATACTTTGCAAACAATTCAGGACTAACAAGCTGCTTAACTTGAGAGGGCAAAGCTTGAGATTCACACTTTTCTGAAGGACAGTTCAGCGCTTTCACTGCCCCATCCTCGATCTGTACCTTAAAGTAGCCTGCAAGGCAATCCACACAGTACACATGCCCACAGTCATGGAATTCCATGCAAAGTGATCCCGGTTTTTCACTGAAGCAAACATTACATGTAAAATAGCTGCTGCAAAAAACTCTTTCCTTTTCTTGTTGGTTGTACTCTAAAATAGCACCAACCAATTTATTGTGTGAGGCAACATCTTGGAAAGCTCTTGGATCTCCTCTTCTTTTCTTGTTGCTCTGTGCATGGGCCCTCTTGTACTGCAAAGGGAATGGACTGCCAACATTTAACGTTGCCAGAGTTTCATCAAGGAGAAATTGTGTCCATCTGAAAAGGATTACTTCTCCTCCATCATCTTCAGCCCAAATGTCATCAAGACATTTACACAACTTGGACAGCTAAACACATAAATTACTGTAAGTAGTATTATTTACTAAAAATACTTCACCACACTTTTGATTAGCTCATGAAATAAGTAAGCCCCCCCCCCTCCCCCAATGATTACCAAGTTTCCCTTACATCCCAGCTGAGGAACAGATTTCAGGAAATTTCCAAATGGCAGCGTTCTTTACTTTTTGGTATTGAATGCAACATGATTAGAACTAAGCAACTGCTTGGTACCAAGCTAAAATCATTCTTCACACCAAAGTTGTACATCAAAAACTCAAGTTTTTGTGTGCATCTTGAACAATTATCTATCACTGCAATAATCAGGGATGCATAAAAAACCTGGGCATTCAGAATTTTATTTAATTCCCCCCACCACCATCCACCATCCTGGTCAATTCAAGGATGTGTTCTGTTAGGAGTTTTCAGAGGCCAACAAAATTTAAGATTTTTGAGAAATAATGAAATCCCAATCATCTAGCACTTTTCCAGCATCTTAACAGCTGACTTAAGGATAAGAATATTTCAAAAGCCTTCCCTTCTTGTTAGTGCCTCTATCATATAGGGAACTAATTAATAAAGAGTCACCAAGACTCGAGTGAGCATCGCAAATACTCCTTGTCTTTGGTCAGGTAAACTTTAAATGATTTCACTCATGTGATAGCCTCTAAGCCGCACTAATACATTCAAATAAGCTTATAGAAACGCTGAGACTTCTTATATTCTCTTGATCCAATACATTTCCACCTAAGACGAAACAAACCCAAAAAAGCCTTCATTATGTAATACCTGAAAGACAGTTAACCACTTGCATGATAACGTAAACAGTGGAGGGCTACTCGAAGGGTAATCTTCAGGGAATCTAAAATTCAACACAATCGGAGGAAGGTACTCTGCCTCTAATATCTCGTAGTTCCTGGTATTTTGCGCTGCGTCTGCAGTATTTTTGGAAGCTTCGATCTCCTTCCTCGTAGAATGTTTTGGTAGAGATCTAGATTGTATTTTCAGTTTGAAAGGTTTAGGCAACTCCAGGAATACATTAAACTGGCCTCCCTTCTCCTCTGATGACTGATTAAAGATTCTTTCGTCGTAAATTGAAGCTAAGGCAAGTAATTCATCCTCCTGCTGCTCGCCGTCGGACATTTTGTTCAAACCTAGATCCCAGTCCTCTTCATAACAAGTTTAAGGGGGGAATATAGGAAATTGACTACTAATACAGGGAGACCGGTTGAACACTAAAGAGCCTCAGGGGAGAAGGAATCCGATAGTACAACCAGATCTCCCCCCCCCACCCCTCACTACTCACTACCACCACCAAGCGATAACTAAGATCAGTTAGCTTTCGTGTAGCCTTACCCTACCCGCATGGAGAAACATTTCACCTTGAGGGGGAGGGTAAGGCTACACGTAGGCCAATGACCAGTTCCTTAGCCGTACTGGTTATGTACTACCGTGAAAGGTATGGCTTTTGGGTTTTCGATTCAATGACCACATCTTGAGTGAAATAACTTCTCTTTATTCATTATTCTACAATAGTAGCCTCATCATAGTTTGTTACCACCAATCTAAGTTACATTTTCGGAATCTTTCCTTAATATTATAATTTCCTGCGCATTTACAGTTAAAATGAAAATAGGCTTCAGTTCAATTACTTTCCGCTTTCTGCAGAATGAATTATTATTCATAAAATTGAATCTTTATTTTCGAATACTCTCCAAACATTATTGGAATACAAACTTAGAGTGATGAATTTTCACATCCTCCACAAGTTTTTAATCATTCGCCCAAAACCTATCTTGGAAGTTAAGAAAATAGAGATATGTACAAATTTTTGCAATTTAGAAAATCACTGCAACCTCTGTGTCTACTTAGAATCTTAAATGTTTTATTTCTTAGTAAACCCTCCTAATTTACTTCTTGCCTCACGCCAGCGTTAATCAAAATTAGTATTTACCACACAGGTGAATAGTGTTTTCCGCGCGCGCTGATTGCCCGGTTCGGAAGTATTTAGCCAGTAATGTTCCCCTACGAGCAGCAGGGGAAAAAAATCCGGCGTCAAGAGTTTAATTTCCTTCTTCGGTGTATTGACAGAAAATTCATTTTTTGGTTGCTGTGTAGTCTATACTAAGTCTTTGCTAAGACAATTATTTACCATAGTGTCGGTGAATAATTGTTATTAATGAACAAAAAATTTCCAATTCATTTCTCAAGACGCAACAGGCAAATATTCGAAAGCATCAAAGGGGGGGAATATTTAAAAAGTTTTCTTTTATCACGAGTAAAAAATATATTTCTGTAAAAAGATAGAACAATCCAAGCATGCTCATTTTCAATGGCTGGAAAGGTTAATGATATCTCGTATCATACCTTTGCTCCATTTAAAGAGAGCATAGCGTAACAAGTTTACAAAACGTTCGAGAAGAACGCATGACATTCTAGTTCGAGAAAATTGTGTGAAATGAATAACGCATTGATTAGAAGAAATAGAAGTCTTTTTTTTCCTCATGACTTGTTTTCCACTTTCTTGTTATCAAGTCTGAACATTTTTTCCGTAAGTACCGTCAGGGGGTCGATAGAGTTTGGGCAAAGCCATGACTTGCCACGAATTGAAGGCATATCTTCGTATTCCAGTGTTCTTGAATGTATTCTCTCGTCTCGTCCCTTCACTACAAAACACAAAAGCAGCAAAACTAGATTTACCCAATGTTTGAGTAGTTAATAAAGAGGTAAAGAAGTTTTAATCCTGCAAATAATTCACCTGTGTCAAAAAATAAATAGCAGGAAATACAGGCCTCAAAAAACGGATAGTGAGACAGAAAACTTGTTACGCTAATCAGCAACCTTATTTATTCAAAATTTGTGCTCTTTTTCTAGTTCTGTTCGCAAAATGAAATCGCCAAAGCGAACTTGGATTATTTGTCCTAAAACCAAAGCCAGAGTAATCAAAAGGACCAATCAGAACACAGGAAATTTTTCACAGGGAACCAATGAGAACTAATATAAAAAAAACTAGCAAACTTCATGAGGCGTGGGAAAACGAGTGACTTTGTCGAGATTGGTTCAAGCGAAGTGTCTGATTGGTTGAGATGGTGGGCCTCTCGAGTCTTCTAGACCAATCAGAGAGCACATCGACGTAAGACCACAGCAATCCCAGATTACTTTTGACATTCAGTTGAAAATTACCCTGAGGTACTCTAACGTCGGTTGCAAGTTTTACCAAAATTTTACAAGAGGGATGGTGGGGAGTCTGACTACTTTCTTAAATAAGGGGAAACACATGGACCCTGGCACTCTCCGCGAGAAACGCCCTTGTACGGTACCTTCTCATGGCGTCTAAGGCCTGCTGGAAAAACTGTGAGTCCATGTTGTGTTCCCGTTTGAGGATCATGCACTGCTCCAAAGTGATTCCCATTCCTGTTCGGTCTTTTGCGCTTTTACAACTCATGAAACGGCATCCGTTCAACCTCCAACAAATCTGTGGGAAAGGAAGAGAGAATTGTTATAAATCGTTATAGGGAAGCATTAGACCCAGTTCTTACTTTACAAAAGTCTATCTTGCACTCGAGGATTTCGGTCGTAGCTTATTCCAGTTTCCCTTATATGAAGCGACAAAGAGTATGTAGCCACCTTCACAATCCACGGATGCCAATTCGATCCAATTTTTCGTGAAGGTTTTCTTAACCGCTCGCCGGAATCCGTTTGTATTCCTGAATGGGTGTAAATGGTTTAAGCCAAGGCCACATCCAAAACAAACCCCGCCAAATCTTAAACATTTCGATCCGATCGTGATCCCGCCAAATCTTGAGCCACTTTCAATTGAGTGTCGAAAGCAATGAACTCGCTATGTGATTGGTCCAGAAAACCTGCGCCATCCTCTCAACCAATCAAATTCAGCCAATCTCAGCCAATCACCTCTTCAGAAAATTTGCTTGTTTATACTTGGAGTTCTCACCGCTTTCTTTAGATATTTCCATTCCTCTGATTGGCCGTTGTGATACCTTTTATTTTGATTTTACGAAACTCAATGAAAATGCACTCTAATACGCTGTACCTCTTCGCTGATGAGGAGAATGTCCACATTCTTCCCTCGTCTGCTTTCAATGTTTGATTTCAAGGACTTCATTAGCTGCTCCACACTATGATCACCTTCCCTTCTGGAGGCAACTGGTAGGATTGGAATTAAAAAAAGGAAGACATCAAATGAATCAAATGCCTGTCTCAATAATCCTTAATATCAACAAAGAAGATACTTTCCAGGTGGCCGAGAAGGGAGGAAGGGACAAGACAAAAAAGAACGGGAAGGGAGGGGGGGGGTCATGGAAGAGTGGGATTAGGGAGAGAGTGAGGAAATTAAGGAAGTTAAGAAGTAGTTAGATGGAAGTAGGGAGGTGAGAGGAAAACAGAAGGGAAAACAGATGACATGGTTTCATTAGACAGGCATTTCTGCGGTTGACCAAAATTCTCAAAACGTCTTTCAACTTACTTGCGTCGGGAAACTTGTCTTTGAACTGTTCAAGGTAAAAATTTAGGATACTATAGTTATCACCATTGATCTTTTCTTGTAGACTGGTATCTCCAAATCTGGAAGAGGAATTTTTAAAATATGACATAAATATTAAGAAGGATGAGATATTTTGCTGTGGATGTCTTCGATAAATGTTCCCAGAAAAAAATGGAAAATGGAAATCTAGTTCGTTTTTGGCTCCAATCATTATTAATACACTGCATGAGATTTCCTGAGTCGTATTAAGCTATACACTGCACCTTTCTGCATATCATCCTGCCAAGAGATTAAAAACTGCAGAATATCCATTGGCTGGGAGATTGCGTGACTGCTTTCCTCTTGCACATCATGCAAGTTCCGTTACCGACTGCTTTAATCAGCTTTAATACTGAAGTTCTTGGACCCTTCTTTCCCATAACCTCCGTAGAGTTTATGACAGATTCTTTGAATTGGTCAGGTTCTTTTTTCTCACAACCGGCCATCTACACAATCTAAAATCTCTTTAAGGAGACATTAAATATCACCCATAGAAAGGTTACCTTTCAGCCAATGTAGCGTGTTCATTGATGCCTTGTGTAAAGAGCACTGGAATGACCTTGACTAAACGACCTTCCTGTAAGTCACGTGGCAGCCTCCGGAAGTGGACAGGCGGAAGTGACACGTTCACTTGAATATAAGACCTAATAAAGAACAACTCAATTCATGTAGTTGCAATATTAAGAGTTTAATAAGAATCTCTCATAAAGCGTATTTGTATTTGATATCAAAGTCATTGAGAAGCGTGAGAGTACGGATGACACTATAGAGGGAAAGTATGTAACTGTTTGTCTCGGGTGGGGAGACACAATCACGCTATTTCTACTATTACTACCTACCTAGCGCCGATTGGCCCATTAAGGACAGAGGGAAATACAAAAATTGGTACTATCCACGAAACTAAGCGATGACTGTGTCGTCATTGCGCAGATCCACGGGAAACATTCTGAGCTGACTAATATATAGATTTAGCCAAGCCTAAAAGCGGAGCTCGCACTTTTTTCCCGCACGTCTCAAGGGCACAACGCCTTGTCCCGGCCAGGACTAGAACCCGGGTTGTTCTGCACTGACCACTGGACTACTGGACAAAGCCGTGGCGTTGGCGTGCCCGCGGTACAGTTGACCACGCATGTTAAAAGTAGCACCTTGTACGGTCGTACGGTCGTACATCCAAATTTTTTCGGCTTGATGGGTTACTACTATTTTGTATAATTTTGGGACTACGCTCTGCGAGCTCCGCTATAAGCAAACGCAGCAAAAAATTTATCTTACCTGTTCCCACTTAAAGTTGGGATTTCATCTTCTCTGTCACACAGTTTGAACTAAAATAAAAACAATAGTTTACTACAGGCACGGTACGCTTCACTTAATCTAGCAATCGAGAGAATCGAATAAAGAAAAAGCTAAGCAGTAATAAATTTATGCCTAAGATCTGTATTCTCCATCTAAAATCTTAATTTTTATCTATCCTTTCGAAAGATTTATACGCCATGGAAGTATGTCCTTTGTACATTCCTTCCTTCGACAGAATGTAGCATTTTGCAGGGGTTTTCGCATCTTGGTTTGAGAGTATATTTCTCACCAACTTTCTTTTAAAGAAGCCTTGCACTGATACAACGACAAGAACAAAGTTGACAGGTCACCTTAAATTTGACGCACGTTAGGTTACTTATGCTCACACACACGTCTTCCAGCATTCCCATTTCATCCCCTAGAGACAAAAAAAAAAACATTCACGTGATATAACGTATATCGTAGATGTAGGGTCACAATGAGAGATGAGTTTGGTTTTATCACTGTAGGCCATCTCCGTTCATCTGTAAACAAACACGGATGTTACTTCAGCTACCTACATCTATTGCAAAAAAAAAAAAAAACCATCTGTCCATTCGGAGAGTAAGAAGATGAAAGGCCATGAAAATGGGGGTTCAAGTCAGTTCATCCAAATTAAAGACATTACACTGCTACCACAGAGCTCAAACGTCGGGCATGCGCAAATTGGTAAAATTTCGCCAGCCGCGCGCCAATTTTCGACGTTTAGTTACCTCTTAGCCTTTTCAACGTTCACACATGCGCAGATGTTTGACAGCCACATTCAAAATGCTTCGCGATAAAAATCACGGGCTCAAGATCAAGAAAGGAGAGTGAAGAAATGACCAATATCGTCAATATTTAGAGAAATGAGATTAATGATACCCAGAGGGCTTTCTCCTTACTTTATCTGTAAAATCCCAAATGAAAAAAAAAACGTAGCATTTCATACCGTTTGTGGTAAGAAGGCTCTCAAAATGTGCCAGAAACCCAATCTGAACAAGTTGCTTTAGATACACAGCGTTGGAGAATGATGTGTGAAGTTTACAAACAAACCCAGCCACCAAAGCCGTGACCTACGAACAGACACCCGGAAAGTACTTATTAGATACCAGTCCAAAGTCAAATCAAGATGTTTTAAGCCTTACGATCCAAATTAATGCCGGAGCTTATCTGCTCTTCACAACATGATACGACCTAAGAGTGTTCCTAATCATCCCTGATGAGATTGGTGTAAATCACAGGTTCCCCACTCCCCACCCCCCACACTCGCATTTTGTTAGGTTTGGAAACAGTTCGCCAACTACTGAATGGAGATTACACTGTGAGAGGAAAGTGTTCTGCCCCAAGAACACATCACAATGACCCAGTCAGAGCTCTAACCCAGACCTCGCTCTAATAAGCTTCCAAGTCTCTAAAACGTGACTGTGGCAAAATAATCAACGGAAGGCGCCTTTGCGTTGCTAAGCAACCAAAGCGATCTCAAGACAAAGAATCGAGGCCCAATGTTTTACAAATTGTTTTTATTGTCAATACAAGGGGTATCATCCTATCTCGGTCGCAAATACTTACTGCGTGAGAGAAAACAATGTCCTGCCTTCTTCGAATTTCGTACAGTAGAGAGGCGTGTTTGGCTTCTTCCTGTTATCATATGATATGAAACATGAAGAGGAGAACTTTAAGCGTATTCTGATTGCCTAAAGTGCATTTAAGAGAATTCGGTTTTGTATCAAAATAGTACCTCCAGCTGACACCGATAAGAGTGTATATCTTCATTAATAGTGCATTGAAATTGTTTAGGGAGGTTACTTGTTAATCGCATCTCGAGATAGAAGGTTAGAAAGTGTTTTTCGTAATCTAAGCGTACCTGTAACTGAAGGAATATCATTCCCAGATAGATTTCCTTCACTAGACCGTCTACAGCTCTGGAAAAGTCATGCACCTCAGATAAAATCACTTCCACCCAAGATTTTCCTATACAACAGGACAAAAATACTCAAATATAAGAGAGCTGTGTTACTTATCAGACATCCGTTCAATTTGGACAAAGAAAAAAAAAAAAAAAATTGCTTCATTCCCATAATGCATCTGTACCTTCAGGTGGCCGAGCATTCTGAACCATACTTTCCATGTGACTCTGCATCATGACGAGGCTCTGATTGACGAGAGTAGACAGTTCCTACAGAAAGACAAATGAAAGAGAGAAGGTTTTGATTTCATAGGAACAAGAATTTCCCATTGTCAGTAGTCATTCAAACGGAAAAAAGACTTCTTACATCTGCTCCAAATGACCGCTTGCAAACGCGGGCTCAGGCAAATGTGATACTTGTGCCTTGAAAATTTTGTTTCAAAGGTGGAAAACTTTGCGTTCAAAAACTTCATGCCGGGTTCAAATCCCGGACGAGCCTGAAATTTTTCAGGCCTTATTTTCACTACTGCTTAAGTAGTGTTCATTGCTGCGAAGATCACTTTCATCTCTTAATCCTCTGTTCACAACTATGATTTTCATATATTCACAATTATTTATATACCATTTCACGAGTTTATTACGAATCACCATAATGACCAGCTTGTTGGCTCAGATGGTGTAGCACTGAACTGGTATCGCAAAGGTCATGGGTTTAAATCCCGTAAAGGCCTGAATTTTTTGAGCCCTTGTTTTCACTATAGCTTACGTGGTCTTCATTATTACGAAGATCGCTTTCATATTCGAAGGTGGGAAACTGTCACTATTTACACTTCTATCCACTTCTACTTTTGGAAGTCGGTAAAGAAAATTCGCAAATTATTTTCGCCAAGATACTTTACCTGGCACTTAGCACTAGGTTTGGTAAATATCTGAACATTCCAGAAATTATCTGTAAACAAAAAAAAACAAACAAACAAACAAATACAAAAACAACAATAAATCAGCAATTGGAAGATCAAAAATGAAGCAAATAGGACATAAAACAAAGAATTTCGAGAGGTTTATTGTGATGAGGTTTTGGATGGGTCAACGCTTAGTCTGAGATTTCATTTCTAAAACGCGTTTCTCACACACCACCACGGCAAGTGCAATAAAACAATAACTAAATCTAATCACTAGATTAGTTTCCAACGACAAAAGGTATAGATATATTGGCATTCTATCACAATGCGGTAATCTGATTGGCTGCGCTACTCGCTGTCTACTCCGTGATCGATGGTGAGTTTAGTGTACGGCTTAACTGTGTGCTGTTGTAAACAAAATAAGGTAAAAACATGAGTCTGTCTTTTTTATTAGGTTTGTTACATTCACGAAACACTTTCAACACCCTAGATTCAATAATCTACTTGTTATCTGGACTTAACGGCTTATAGAATGAGTGTTACTCTAGGGTATACCTCCGTCTGTAGGCGAATCTTCCTCTTTAGGAGAAGGCACAGCTTTCTCAAGCGACGCTAATGATTCTACCACCAAAGGGGCTTCACGAAATTTCAATAACTGCGTTGCCTACATAAAAGAAATTATAGAGGCTCAAACACAAACGACTAAGAAAATTAAATTGTTTCATTCATACCGAGATTTAAACTATAAAGTACTATAGTTCGTGCCTCTGATTGGACGAACGACGTATTTTCACAGTCGTTCGTTCAGTATGTATGAAACAATCTTATCCTAATTTTGATAACATGCTGGTCCATCGTACAATATGAGTTCGGGAGTTTGGTTTTAAAATTTCCAAAGCAGATCTACTTTTAATTGATTTTCCTTTGTTTAAAATCTATTAACTAATCTGAGACAAAAAAAACAAAATCGTACATGTAAGAAAAAATTTAAAACCAAATAAAAAGGTGAACTGACTAAAGCACATAGATCTTTCAGGAAAGGAAGGCTGATCCTTCCCAGAATACCCATCAACATACTGATTTTCTTGTACCCAGTTCATTGTAAGCCTTGGTGGACAGACGTAATGTTGGTATAAAGTGCTCTGCCAAATAACACTACAGATTGATTAGAACGAAAGTCACTACACGTAACCAAACCCCTGCGCGGGAAAATGAGTGACCTTGTCGCTATTGGTTTTAATTTTGATCTGATTGGTTCAGACTACGACGCGAGTTTTTCTCGACCAATCAAAACAAAGCAAGATCTAATTAATGGAGCACGTGACCCTTCCTACATACCTTGTCTGAAAGACGCGACATGGTTTCCAACAGATTTGTCACATCTCCCGATCTGATGGCCCTAGAAAACGAAGACATTGCAATAAAATTGTTAGTATAAAATTCACAAAGTTATTGGGGTAACAGCTGGATACAAAATCAGATAAAATTCGGATAAAAACCAAAAAAGGAAAAAAATGAAAGAAAAACAGCCTAAAAAGGTCGTCCTATAGTCGTTAAGGATCTTTGATACTTTTCGCATCCACAACATTTTTCGTTTTTCCTCTCCCGGAAATGTCATTTTCAACATTTCACTGAATAAAATAATACTCTCCTACATTTTTTTTTGCCATCGCTAAAAAAGCCTAACCCTGTTATAAGAGCAATCATGATAAAGTATTCACTTGGAAAGTAAGAAGTTAACTGTTCGTTCAACATTCTCTTAATTAAAAGGTAGAAATCAAAATTTAGCGACTTACTTCTTGACATTTTCACAATGTTGGCTCAGTTGTGACTTAAATTTTTCCAAATTAACTACAAAAGAACAAACGAGGAGTTTATAACAGCTTCCGACGGAGAAGTCCAACCACAATTTTCATTTTCCGATCTACACAAATCAGTACAAAAATTAAATGCTCTGTAACTGCGATTATCTCCTAATTCGAAAAACATATGCTGTCAAATCGTAAAACACCCTTTTATACAAATGACTGAAACATTAACTCGCTGATATCTTTGTGAACGCAGCCAGAGCCAAAAAATCAGCTAGTTTACCCATAAATGGATATTTCTTTAACGCTCTGTGGTGGATATCAACCCATCCTTTTCACCCCCGCTTCGTGCACTCACCTCTAAGCTGTTTCACCACTGGAGCTTTGTTTTCACTCTCCCCACCACTGAAAGTCAATTAAATTTGTTAGATTTACCATTTGATACCCTTAGAGGTCCCCTGAGCTATATCATAGACGTCGGGAATCACAAAAACCGTTTGGTACGAAATATTTCAATGCAATACCCTTAGTACTCCAGCAAAGTTGGTTGCACTGACTCTATCATGTAAGCATACCTCTGTTGTGCCTTCCTAAGTGTCGTGTACAGTCGCCTTAGTCCTCCCTGGCCAAATTTAAGCGTATGAGCAGCTGGAGCACCGACGGTGACCATGTCATACAATGTCCCTGATGAAAAAAAAAAGCACCTTGTATTTCATCATTAAAGCCTCGTGTAAACGACTTCGAAGATGCCTTAAAAAAATACTATTTTAACAACAATGCAGTACACGAAAAAAAGGATAGTTTTTTTTCCTAAGAACACCGCCACTGACGTCTATAGCTTTCCCGTGTTTAACACCGGTTACAAGCTGTCCCGCGCTTGACAACAGTTACATTACCCCCGCATAACACCGATAACATTTTTTTTTTTTTTTTTGCGCTAAGAGCGGGTAACCAATTTTCCTTGCGCTCAACGTGTGGCAGTATCTATATGTTTTCGCGCGCCTGCGTTGGTAATATTTCGTCGTACGCATGGCACTGATAACATATTTTCCCGCCCTCGGGACTGGTAACAACTTTTCCCACACTCAGCACCAACTCCATTATTCCGACACTCGGCTCCATCTACACATCTAACTGGAACTGGTTTTATCTCCTCTTTCTTTTCACCTCTTGCCAGCTTTGATTAGACTAATTTCTTTTTCGATAAAGGGGCTTCTAATGGAACATTCATCGCAACCAAACATGTACGCTTCTACAACTCCGTACCTCCCTCATTGTCTTGCATAACCTTCATTCGCTGAATGTGCAGATTAATTGGAATAAAAGCCAGTTTCTTATCATTTCTGAGTCTCGCAGGCTTAAAAAATGTACCTAAAAACAAAGAAGTGCATGTCTCAATTTAACCCTTTACACCATCACATCAGCTTGTATATTCTCCGTACCGTTCTCTATACATTTCCTCAGGTGCTGACAAGGAGAATTTGTTTAAAAAATCAAGAGCTCCTTCATTCGGTGATCATTTTCTTTACTCTCGTAAGCTATATGTGTGATCCAGGCGTGACATTGTAGGGAGAAATTAGATGCTAATCACTCTTAAGTCTAATAAAATCATCTGCACCCACATCACTTGCGGTCATAACAATCTTAAATACGTATTGTTTTTACAACGAACCTTGTAAAGGAACAAGTTCTTGAAGATTGCCTTTGTAAGCACAGATGAGCTTGAAATGATTGTCAAGGATCTCTTGCCGAGCATTTTCCCAGTTAGGATTCAACTAAAATAAAAATGTTCAATTAAAATCGATACTTTAGAGACCAGACAATTTGAGAACACCATCTCTTAGTTCACTGTTGCAGCGCTCTTCAAATGAAGATTAGAGGTATCTAATTCTTAGGAAAATTACACGTATCAACGTTTCTTATTGGACCTTTTTTCAACGGGGCCGATTGCAGATGAGTGCTCTCTCTACCAGGCTGGTATCCACCTAATACACTTTTCAATGAAATGACTTACATCTTCACTACATCTATCAAATACCACTTAACAAAAATGTAAATGAAATTCTCACATCTCCCAGGTGGTGAAGCTCAAGAATCTTCTGCTGCTCCTCTGCGATATACATTTTCCTGAAAACAAAATGGTACTTTACAAGCCGAAACTAAAAGGTCCGAGCGTTTTGGTGGCCATGGCGAGTAGGAGAAATTTGGTACTAACTTTGCTGCGAGAATCGCCGAGTTGACAATCTATTTGGTGGTCACGTTACAAGTTGCGATGTTTTTTAAAATTACTTAGTGCTCACGATCCAATTCTAAACTGAAAGAAACATTTGCGTTAAATACTATTTTAAAATGCTCCGAAGTATTCATGTATGGAAAAAATTACCACTTTCTCTTCGATTGTCTGAGTATGATGCTTCGAGATGTCGCGCAAACCTCCAAGTAAAAGCGCCAATCAGTTATTTCTTTAACTTAAAAAAAATATTATATTCTGGCAACTTAGCCAATCTTTTTGGCCACTGTTTTATGATTTAAAGTAGCCGATTGGCGACTCTGAAAAAAGGGAATTCGAGCTCTATGGTGACTTGCACAAAACAGGTCTATGTAATGCAAAATGGTTACACTGCGTTTAGTCATAATAATCAGTATTTGACTGGCCTGCGGACAGGCTCTAATAAGCGCTGCGATACAAGTAGCATAGCCCTGCGCGTTTCAAGCAGTCGAGCAATGAGAGCGCGCGCGAGGTCCGCGAGGGTTAATAAAGGACCCCAGCAGACCTCTCGCACGTTCCTTCGCGCGCTTGCGGGCTCGTATTTGATAGATTTTAAGTACTCACAACAGCTGAATTGGTATTTTAAAAGTGAGGACGCTCTCTCCCATCATTTCCACCACTTTGAGAACAACACCTCGCATCCTGGAAGGGACGAGAAAAAGGATTAGTATACGTAAACTCGCGTGACTCTCTCAACCAATCAGATACAAAACTACGAACCAATCACAACTTTGTCCGTGTTTTCCCGCGCTTTTCGCAGCTTGCTTGTTTTTTCTTTGAGTTCTCATTGGTTCTTAAGTGTATTTTCCTTTGTTCTGATTGGCTGTTTTGATAACTTTGGTTTTAGCTTTACGACACTCGAAAAGCGCTGTAATATAGCCACCCCAAGTATATATATATATATATATATATATATCATATATATATATATATATATATATATATATATATATGTGTGTGTGTATATAGGAAGAAGCTCACTCCTCCTAAATATGTTTATTCCTGTTCTACCTGAAGCACACGGACAGTGTACACGATTTTGTAATTCTTACGTGGTTGGGAATCTGTAACTCCTTTTCTGAATGTGTTCCACCATCGCCATAGATCTATACGAAATCAAAAATTGAAGGAAAGAAATGAATCACTAATTTCATTATGTTCATCATCATCAGCTTATTACTATGTGGATTGGGTTTTTTCCATCGCATACGGATAATTTTCTTCGGGCGAGGAGGTCGACTGGATACACGTCAACTATTAAAACATTATGCTCACAATTGCGGACAATGCCTGCTTTGAAACGATGTAAATTTTATTGATATTGATACCCAATGCTGCACACGCCAGGTAAAATTGGCAATACAACTAAGACTTCATCTAAAGAATATTAACAGAAACAGTGGAATAAAAATCCCAGAGGCACGGACGCCGACGATCTTGAAACGTAACCATAAGATAGCCTTGCGACTGTAAACCACTGAAAGAACACATCTCCGAAACGCGCCAATCACAGCTTTTAAAAACCAACCAATCAGAGAATAGCGGTTCATAAGATGACGCGTGTGCAGATGACCTTATCGCCTGAAAAAAAAGTCTCACAGTATTCAATCGAAACGTCGCGATCCACATCGGAAGTGGCTACATCGAGCCTAAGTGGTTAAATCGAGAGACAAAAAAAAACCACAACCGAACTTCATTAGGGCTTTGACGTGTGTTACCTTCCGCTATTTTTCCTAGTTCCCACATCATCCTCCTTCTGCAATAACAAAGATACTCCTTTAGCTAAGGGAATAACTCAGACCAACCGCACTATACGTGACTAAAAATACCTTTACCTCAATTTGAGAAATTCTTTTTGATGATTTACGACCATCCACCTGATCAGAAGATAGAGAAAATAAAAATCATCATCATCATCATCATCCTCATCAATTGTACTTTTGGCGCCCAGTGACATAAACGTTTCAATAACAATTGCGATAATTAATTACACAGTGCGATATCTATTAACAATTTTAGTGAGGATACTCATGGAACAAATTGCTTATATATAAAAAAAAAAATCGGAAAATGACTAATGGAAGAGCTGCGTCTTTGAGTTGGTCCGGCAAAGACTACAAGTCACTTTTAAATCATTATCAAAACGTAATTTTTGCCTTTGTGTTTGGATTATCATTATTTTATTTGCAGGTGAATTTTGTTTTGTCTACAACATAACTATACAAAAAATTATTTCTGAGCAAGGAGCAAAAAGCAGTTAACCCTTTACACCCTAACATCAATATGCACATTCTCCATACTATTGTCTTTAGATTTCCCAAGGTGCTGACAAGGAGAATTAGTTTAACAATCAAGAGAGTCTTATGCTAGTGATCGCTTCCTTTATTCTCATGACCTTAATGTGGGATTCAGGGGTGATATTGTAAGGAGAAATTAGATGCTGGTCACTCTTAGGGGTCAAAGGGTTGGATGATAAACTGAATAATACCCATTTCATAGTTCTTTCTTGTGATTTATTGAAGGACAGACACATAAATGGCATCACCTCTAACAACATTTTGCATTTTTTATCATATAAAACAAACTGATTCCATGTTGCTGTTGGCCTGCACAGTAATAAAACACAGGAGATGACAAACTGTCATTGGTAAGAACATCAGTGACACAGTCAGCTGCACCTAATGTGCCACATTTTCGTTATTACCACAATTTGATGTCATCTGTGATCTAGTGCCAGACAGACATTTGGTAACATGGAATCTGTTTAGTAAATTAACAGATGAATAAAAGGATGAATGGAATTTTGAAGAAAGAAACTTTTCTACCCTACTGCATCAAATCCAGATATGCCTTAATCAAAGTTGTTTTCCTGATCCATGCTCACCTTCCATCCGAGTACTGTGACAGTTCCACAGGCATCAGGTGAATCAAGAGGACTGGAAATAGAATGGTACACAAATAAACAAACTATGATTAGAACAAGTCTTACTGGCTCATGACTCTTGAAAGTAACTTTTTGTTGGAACTACTTACGTCAAAGTTAAGAGCAATTTCTGATCAACTGATGTTAAAATGTCTCCCATTGTGCACATTGCTTGGCCCAACAAGGACATCTGTAAGGGACAGGCCAAAATTCAGTTTAGATAACAGCACAATTTTTTCATCTTTTTTTATTGGCATCAAAAGCAAGCACCACATGACAAGATCACTCATACCTCTTCTTTTTCTCTGTCTCTGACATCAAACACCGCTAATTTTAAACGAGTCATCTCATTCACTGTTCCCTCAGGGAACACCACAGTTGTCAGAAAATATGGGTCAATTTTTTGCTGAAGACATTCAAAGGAAACACATGATAACATATTAACAAAATACGATCAAAAATTCAAATAAAATGCACAGTGTCTTTGTCTTTGTTCTCTGGGAACACAGTTAAAGTATGCATTATGAATAAATCTGATGTCCAGCATGAAAATACAGTTTTGGTTGCCACGACAAGTAGAAAAAACATAACTACTACTTTGCACCTTTCAATCAGTAGGCATGCATAAGGCTGCTTTGTATTAATCACTATATGTTGATGATGTAAAATATAATCAGGACTTTATTGCTTTCTTTTTGAACAATCTGCATATTCATCTTTAGTGCACAGGTATGAAGAAGCCCTCAGATGCACAGGTACTAAAAACCTCCAAATTGATAACCTTTACTTCTGGAAAACAGTTTATAATTTCAAGTTTCCAAATGGTGATTTTTAAAAACAAAATTAGCTTGGAGCCCATATTAGCAACACAAAAGACTGCTTAACCCATTCATTCCAAAGGTCTACTTTTTAGCAATCATTTTACCCGTTGAAGGCTGTAGCGCAAACAGCCGAAAGCTTGTATTTTTAAAAGTTTTAGCCAGAGATCGTTTTTTAAATTTCATAAAATTCTCCTTATTGTCTGTCATACAATTCTTACCATAACAGTTTGGAGATTTTGGTATAAAATCAACTGTGCAATAGTCCCCTTGTTGATATGTTTCTTTATTCTTATCACTTGCCTGCTTCATATTGTATAAATATTATAAAGGGAAATTCTTTCAATTGGTCATGAGGCAGACAAATACAAGTATACATATTTTTGTCTCATAATTTCCATGCACATCATTGGTGCATCTACATCTAAGGAAATAATCAAGAGAATTATTCAATTTTCCATCTCCAAAATTACTCTTAAAAGACAAACCTTCTTTTTCCCAGCCAACCCACCCTATAAACTAACCTCAATTATTTCAGTCTGTGCATGTTTACTCCAAGATGTTGAGGGTGGGGTCATGGTTCTAATTTCAACAAAGGCATTTGGCAGTTGTCCTTCCTCTGAACTAATCAGCTGATGACAAGCTGGGAAAATAAATACAGCTTACTAAATAATTTCAAGGTCCATACTTCCAGTTTTCTACAAAAGCACTAGTAGCTGGTGTTTTTGTCTGCTACCAGCCTTGTTTCTAAAGCATCATTCAGCTACTTCAAATAGACAAAGCAGCAAAATACCTGTCTTAATTTGAGATCAATTTCAACCTTTGCTGTCTGATGCTTTTTTTAATAGCTGAGCAATGAAAAATCTCTGGAGAACACTGAGCTTCCTTGCAGCAGCTTTCAAACTCATCCTCTATATGATAAGGATTTTACTACAGCCAACCTTTGTGTAAGAGTTGGGCATAACCTTATCACTAGTACATAAAATTTTATTTATCTCTTATTTTCAAGTCAGAGATGAATAAAAGTTACCTTTGTTAACAAATGATTGGGATTAAGAGTCTTTGATCACATGGTGCATACCAGTACTTTGTCATAACTTTATTGTGAGTGTCTAATCTAAACCTACCAATACACATTTCCAAGAAAGGAGTTTCATCAGCATCTGCTGTACTTGTAGATGAGTATTGACCAATGCCAGGCTTGAGGGGCTGTTGATGAAAATAATGCATTAGAAATGCACATTTCAAATGAGTGTTGTAAAACCAAAATCACAGTAATCACAATAACGAATTGGAACAAAAAAATATATAAAATAAGCCAATATGAACTCAAAATAAAATAAGGTAGCTGCATGATGCATAGGAAAATACTACTGACCATGTCTAGTTTGTTAATTTACAAGATTGTTTTAATTCATCACTCTCTCTTCCAAGATTTTTAATATCCCTTCCTTCTAAAATGTGCCACACCTCACTCATGTGGACACATAAGCCAAATGTTTATAATGATCTACAAACCAGATTCTTCAGATTTTTGAAAACCTCAAGTAGGATGAAAAAATTACCTCTTGTTGGGCTAGAGGATGAAAATCTGGAAGTGGATCCTGTGATAAACAATTAAGAATTTAAGTTAATATATGATTCAAGCATTTAGAAGACACAACTTAAAACAAAATTCACAGCACTTTGAGAAATGATTCCCGAAGCAGCAAGGTTTGCAGGACCCTGTCTGATTGTATAATTTATTTTTGTTTTGAATGTAAGTGGCTGAAAAAGATGCATGAATTTTCTAGGACAACCACTAAGTGTTGAAAAGTAGATTAATACATTCCTGGATCTCAACAGCAGGATATTTCTCTATTTTAACAAGTATTACCTTTCCAGTAATCTCCATCAGCTGTTTCCTCAAGCTAAGAAGCTTGCTTCTTAAACTTTCATAACTATTCATTCAATAAAGAAAAAGAAATAAGAGCTTTGTGACCAATTTAAAAAGGTTTAAGTCAGATGCTTCCCTTTTACCATCACTCAAGTAAAGAGACACAATGGCAGGTCCAAAGGCAAGGGTCCAGAGATTGCCACACATAACCAAAGACATATTCAACTAACCTGGCATTTTTTATCTTTTCCATCCATTCTTCTGTATCTTTGGTTGAGTTTCCTCTGAGATGATACCTCTGGGTGTCATCTTCATCAAACACTGTTGAATTAAAAGAATCAATGGCCAATGGATAAACCATCATGCACCAAAAATAATCTGTCATAACTGAATTGAGAATTGAATGGCACAGTCATGGTATTACAGTTAACCCAGTCAATTCTCCTCTCTAGCTACTACACATTTCCTTGTTTACAAGGAATTGTTGTTTAATCAAGGTAATAAATTGTACCTGATGAGTTTGAGTATTCTTACCACCTGTTTGCTGAATAATGTATGAATACTACAGGGACAAGTAACATCTTAATCACTTCTGGAAGTTAGAGAGTTAAGAAATTTAATTACCTCCTGCACAGACATTATTTTGGAATTAAAGCAAGGAAAACTGATCAGGTAGAAAGAAATTAGAGACAGGTTGGCCAAGATTAATTTTTGGTAAGTGCATTGGACATCAAATATAGTGATCATGTAAATCAAACTCCAAATGATTGTGTGAAGATGCACAATTTCATGCCTTGCCTAACATATAAAGGAAGAAATAATTTACCAATTGTGAATCCATGCTTCTTCTGAGTTGGTGAGTCTTTTAACACTTGGCACCGTTCAAGCACTATAGCACCAACAGGGTCAGAGGTCTGCATAAAATCACAAAAATTTGGTCTCAGTTTTAAATCAAACACCAGTTAATAACCAACGAGTAAATGTTTCATCTGCTCTTCAGAGGGTTGGCAAATGGTACGCTGAAATATTTTGGATCTTGAAAATTTTAAGCAATCCTGAAATCTCATCACCCTTTGGAGATAAGCCGTGATGCCTTACATGATGCCTCCCCCTTAATTCTGGTGATCCTAACCTCCCACAAACTCATAGTCAGTGCCATTGTTGTTGTTATTACTGCCATTGCTGCTGTTCACATGATAAATGTGACAATACTAATGAAATCACTTATTAAGTCAAAGGTTTTTTACTTTCTGCCAAGCTAACAGCAAGCTATAGTGAATCAGGCATACAGTTTTCATGACTAGTTAGGTCAATAGGTCACAGATGCATACAAACCTTGTCTTTTGTCTTGAAGTAGAACAGCAGATTTCCTCTGAGGCGAAACCATCTTTCTGTATAAACTTAAGGAAAAAAAACATTGATTCAATTTCCTTAAAGCATCTCAAATTTTTGGCAAACCTTCTCATCTCCTGCACAGTATTAAGATAACTGTATGTGAAATTTTAATTTCAAAATTGCTGGATAATCTCGATTGATGTGTATTGATTCTTGCATTTACCTGGTTTCGTTTCAAATATAATATGAATACATGCAATATTTGGACAAGAACAATATTGCTCTTCCTTCTAAAATCAACTAAGGGTTTATTTATTACTTCATTACAACAAACTACATAATTTGACACAATGGAGCTATACCAAGAATTATTCTTTAATGGGACCAATAGCATTTTTGTCAAGAAAATTGAAACGAGATAATCTTGCAAATGTAATTCACGGATTACAAATATGCTTCGTGGTAAACCTCATGTTATAATTAGGCATCAAAAATGCACGAACTTAGATTCAGAGGTTACATTTATAATTATTAAAACAATTTAAAGGTATTCTATACAGCGAAGACAAAAAATTTATTTACATAACTGTTTAGGTAATTGACGATTCTGGATGTCAAAAATACTTTCCTTTAAATATCTCGATCATTTGAAGTCATCTGTTTATATGTTACCTTCGTTCCTTTGCCAGAAATGGCCTTCTTTCTCCTTCAACCACAATACATCTTCCTTGTCAAAGGGAATGTCTGTTCTTGTAGCAATAAAAGCGAGTTCCTTTTGGTTAAATCTCATATTTTAGGGAAATCCGGGTTCGCTCGAGGTATCCTCCATTTTAGCATAACAATAAGCTGGCTAGTTACCAGTCCTAAGGGTTTTGCTTCAGTTGTTGTTTCAGTAGACGAGACCCGGAAATCTTAAACATCCGGAAGATGTGGAGTTTCCTACTCTTATAACACATTCAAATTCAATCATTTCCGGCTAAATCAAGCTGATTGAACAAACTCCTTAAATTCGAGTTCCCTAATTCAATTTTGTCACGAGCACGTTTCTCGAAGGCCCCAGTAACTTAACAGGCCTGTGAAGTTGTTCTGCTTCCACTCAAGATGGGGGTTTTTAAAGTTTGAAAAATAAACAATAAATCTATCAGATAGAGAAACAAAATGGACTTGTTGGCACGTGAGAACCTACTTCTGTATTCTTTGTATTTGGATGTCAAAATATGGCCTCAGGTCCGTCAAGTTACAGGGACAGGGACCTTAAAGAAATGGGCCCCAGGTCCGTCCAATTTTGGGCAGATTTGCGTGATATTGGACGGTGCTTTCACGAACAGGAGCCTCCAAAACCTTTCCGTGCAATTTTAGACGATTTCAATCAACTTGAAACGATTCCAATTAATTGTACACGATCCTACATGATTTTAGGACTGTCTAGCTGATCCGATTTCGTCCGATTTCACACGATCTCATCCGAATTTTAACAGGTCCGTCCGATTGTGGACATCTCAGCAGGCGGTTAAAAATCATACTTGGTTTACAACGGTTGCACTCGAGTAGGAAATGTCGAACACAGCTAATAAAAGGAAGGGATTTTCAACGATGATTATGATTTTTAGGGACAACAACAGCGTGGAAGAAGCATGACCATATAATGATTGATGTATACGGCTTGCTCCGTGCCCAACATAGCTTTGCCAGATGGAAATGAGGTAATATGAAGCAAGGTTAAGGTAAACTGACGAGGTGTAACTGTTGTCCTTCCCAATCACTGTGATATGCCAAGCTTTTGGGTAACTACAAAAATCTAGTCCCCTATCAAGATTAGCGGACCCAGTACATGAGGCTTACAGAAAAACATGATCGAGAATAAAATCCATTGAATTTCGGCTGCATACGAATGAGCTTATCAACAAAACTCTGTTAATGCAATGAACTAAATAGCGCCGGGAGAGAGTGGGCAGATAACATTTGCCGAGACTTTGGCGAAGATCAGTGGATCCAGATTTGGTAAAGGCTTTTCCGCAGCTGTGTCTTAGTATGTCACACAATGCTCCCCTCAAAACAAGCCACTGATGAAAACTAATTCTTTGGAGGGAGTGTTGCATGATATCCAATGCCCTGCATGTAGAGTCGCCTTTCCCTTCAGCTCTTCCCAATATTCGTATTGAAGGTAACTCTACACACACCAGACATTCTGCAAAGGAGACTACGTTAAGCTGTCGTGAAAGCATACAGCTTTCACACACTACTAATCTAGGATTGCTGATGAGCCATGCCACATAAAGATTACAGATTCACTTCGCTTCACATAATTAAAAAAAAAAGGTACAAAAGTCACTGAGTGTCCTTCATTTAATGTTGTCATAACACGAAACAATTACTGATGTTGTTCACCTAAATATATTACACACAAGCAAACGAGTAACAAATCTACACAAAAAGCTGAATGCACATTTCTTCCAATAGGCAAGCATAAGGTTTACAGCTTCATACAATCCGATATCCACCATGCCACCTTGAATGGAGTTGTGCTACCAATTGCCTAGTGGGAAAGTTTTTTCTTAAAACCCAAAGATTAGATACTAAAACTACACTTAAGTAGCTATAACTGAAATGGTTATGTTTTTCTGGTTTAAAATATTAATTGTAACTGTTACCTCTTACTTTGCTAAATACATACAGTACAACCACACTGACTCAAACTCCTGAGGGAAACAGAAAATATTTCAAACTGTTCAAGCCTGAGGGGATTTGATTTTTTCTGGTTAATTTTAAATTATCCAGTTAATAAGTAATTAGGAATCGTGTTTTTATCATTATTGCACAATTAAAAATCATTTTGAAATGTTTAGTTTGTTTTGTAAGAGCTTTTTTATAAGAATGTTAGGTTAGAGAAGTTTAGCCAGATGTATTACAGTTTGGGAGGTTTGACGATTATGACCATCATTTTGACTAAAGTTCAAGTTATCAGGGTAAATCTGGGCATAGGGAGAGTAAAATTAGTTCAGGTTAACCAAAGTTTAGTTAGTTGAGAGTAAATGACTGAAAACTGGGGTCAAATATAGGCAAAAACAAAATTTTGTTTCAGTTCATCTACTTCAAGTTAGCATGGTTCTACTGTATTTAAGATCGCAAAGGGCTAACAGACTTATGGCACCTATACACAACTAAATAACACTTTAATTAGGTAAGTCTAAAGACACTCAAACTTAAGAACTGCTCTCTACTAAGTGTACAGTTCACCTCAACATGATATTTTGGAGGTGTGATTTGCATAAAAATGTAAGCAGGCTCTCAGAAAATGGGGCACTTCTAAGTTTTTTAACGAAGGTTGCTACAAAGCACGAGTCCCCTTTAGGCATAAGTCAGTTGTACCTGCTAAGTATAACACACTGTTGACATAACATTATCAAGAGGAAACAACATATTAAGAATGACACCATATGTTGTCAGCAAAAATTATATGATCTTAATGCCTCAAAGTTCAACAGTTTTACACACATAATATTGCTCAGTAAAATTTAATTTCTGAATGTTGAATCTTCCCTTAACTCTGCAATAAATTATACCCTACATGACAGAACATCAGCAGGTAATACTTGACCTAAGTACTTAAAATTGTTAAGTTAAAAAATGCCCCTTCACAAAGACAATGATATTAACAATAATTTACAAACAAATGAAAAGAAATGAGTGCCCAGGGGGTAATTTTTACCTTGGGTGAAAAAAAATTTGAAAGTAACTTGAGAAACATGCTTTAACCCTTTCACTCCCACAAGTGACCAAGACAGAATTTCTCCTTACAATATCAATACAATATCAAGCAGGTAGGTGATGAGAATAGAGAAGAATATCAATCATGGGATTATTAGTTGATCCAATACCAAATTCTCTAAACTAACATCATAAGAATTGTATGGCAGATAGTAAGGAGAATTACTAATCAGATCTTGAGAGTGAAAGGGATAAGAAATTGAGAAGATGAGAAGAAAACATACAATACTTAAATACTTACACTTAACTTAAAAGATAGGAGCTGTTGTGACAAAAATTGCATGAGAAGAGAAGTGCTTCTTTTAAAGAAATGCCTTGTTTCCTTAACAATGACCATGAATTTCAATTTTACAGTTTTGATTTAACCATGAATCGGGCATTGGAACACTGAGTACACTGGACTAATGGTAACAAAATAAGAATGAAGATAAAAAATAATGTGTCTTAAATGAATAGAAAATTAACCAAAAGAGATGTGAGAAACTCCACCAGGAGGAGCATGCACTTTCACTGATGTATGAGCTGGTTCATCTTGGCCGCGTCCTGCAATGATGTCACTGCCTTTCCTTGGTGGGGGAGGTTTGGCTGGTTCTGTAGGCTCCTTAAAAAGTGAAGATTTTTGCCGTGCCTCCTGGTGAGGATTCACTGAGTGAGGCTTTCGCGGCTCAGGCTCAAAAGGTTGAGCCACTGGTGCAGGTTGGCTTGACTCACCAAACACACTGGAATGTTGCCTTCTTTGTTGACTTTGCTTATGGTGAGCAGCTGCTGTGTCAGGAGCAGGAGCAGGACCATCTGATGCAAAGACATTGGATTTGTTTCGAGCTGCTTGGCAGGCATTTACCTCCTTCTTAGGAGCAGGTGGTTCAGGTGCATCACCACCAAACAAACTGATGGATGTTTTCCCACCAGGAGGTGCAAGAACTCTGTTGTAAGAATAATAAAATAAACCTTATTGATTTATTTGATTGCACATAACTTACAGTATTACAATGAATTGCTTAGTAACCAATCTGTATTGTGATTAAAGTTTTAATACAAAATCCAATTGATTTTAAATTTCCAAATGTCAATTTGTGTGTGCCCACTAACTTCTGGCAATATTTCACACTAGGTTCTCTCCAAGGTCTGGGTGAATGAAATAATTGCAAACTTTCTGCCTCATTTTTTATTGAATCGCTACTTCATATGGACTGATTCATTTTACTTAATTTTCAAAACAATTATCAAGGCTGTGCTCTGAGAAAAATAAAAGGGAGCCCAGAGCTCTGAAATGGTGGAATCCAGGGTGCCAAGCTTATGCTTTTTTAAAGAAAAAGCAAAAAAAAAGAATCTCTAGTCGCCCAAGAGCAAAATTAGGTGCTAGGGACCACAGAGCATTGCCAGAGCACAGCCCCGATTACTTCTACCCAACAGGAAATACTCTCTTGTATTCTAAAATGTACTTGTTCACAAAATCATGTTTAGTGAAGCAAAAATTGCCTCATTAATTTTCAGTTTCACCGAGCTAATTTGTAGAGCATTTCTGACCGACCTTTAGAGAACATGAAAAACCATATCTATGTGATGCAGGCAAAAGGGAGGTTTGAAACACCAAATATTTTGAAAGTTATACAAAATAAAAATATAATCAGCAATGAAAAAAAAACAAAACAAAACAAACTTAAGCAAAACTGAAAATGTTGGGTTAGCAAATTCCTGAGGAGCCTGCAGAGGTCTCCCATGAGATCTTATAAACAAAAGTTTGAAAACCACAAAGGTCAAGAAAAGCCTGCTTATCCTGTGACTATTCTTAAAATATGTGACACTGTTAGAGAACATTACACAGCCAAGCACTTCTAAAAGCCGTGAAAATTGAAATTTCACACCTCATGATCAAAAATTGGTTTAAAATAAAAGAACAGTGATAAATACTTGACACCTACATGTTTGAAAACAGAATTTCCATTACTTTGCTATCACCATTCATCTAACAGTAGTTTAAAATAGTGCATAGTATCCCTCATCAATCTAACCTAATTGCAAATGAAGATATTTTGCCCAATATGTTGTGATAATTATTCATATAGTGACTGCCTTTTATGAGGCTTTTAAAGTACCTATCAAGTTAACTTTGATTGTAAATAACTTGTAAATCCACTGACAATATCAAACATAATATTGAAACTTGAACTCAAGAGCGAATTTCCTAGATAAAACACAATCAAGAAACAATATCAGAAGACCTCTCTAGATCAACA